CAGCATTTTTAATATTCTGGGACAAGGTTCCTGATTTCTGTTCTTGGCTGCTAACTGAATTTCTCACTTCACTGCTTTGAAGCCAAACCAGCTAGATGGTGGCTGAGTGTCATCACTCATATTGTGACTACTGGAAAGCCGCATGATACTCAGACTGAACATGATAGATCCAACATTTATCTTAAATGTGTTCTTGCAGTGCAGGTATCTATATTCATAAAAACTGAGACTAGTCAGGAATTTATCAAAGATAGCAAATATTGAAGATGATTAACTGTGTAAMTGCTTGGTAGATCCTACAGACCAGGGTGAGAGTCTTCACTGCTTATCATGCATTGTGCCTGTTTACTGTGTGACAAGAGGGAGGTTTTCAAAGATGTCAGGAACACTTTATTCACTAGCATTAATGTTCTAAAAATAAATAACTCCTCATTACTGCTCACATGAAACACTAGTAGATTCTATTGATGCCATGTCTCAGAATTGACTTGACAAACGAGGATAAGTTTATGCCTTCTGAGAGGTCAGAGAGGAGAAACAAATGTCTGACTGAAGGTTAAAAATCTAGCTGTTCAATGCATTGCATTGATTGGACAAGCCACAGTTCTCATTCTTCTGCCAAAATTGTGATACCAAATGCTGTCTATTTTTTTCAGTAGGAAGCTGGTTATTTTATTTACTGAACTAGTAGTCTGTGTTTTCAGTCCTTTAGCAAGGACTACAATTTGTAGGAAGCATGTAACCTCACTGAAGAACATTGATTTGATACCTAACATTGATGGTTTCTAGAACTCAAAASGAGTTCAAAAAGAGTTGCCTTTTCTTATGTCAGTCACTGTAGTAATTTTCAAACTGAAAGACCTCTGCGTGCTCTCTGATGCTAAGTGGAGTGAGAACCAAGTAGATGTATATGTTTAGAGGGAAAGAAGAATGAACTGCTTTCTCTGAAAATGGTCTGCAAAGTGCAGCAGCAGCTGGAGAGTGCAGCAGAAATGCCCCTCTTGCACTTTGACAGAGGGTAGTTTTAAGTGGTGTGTGGAAAAGCAGCTCCTAAAGGACTGGGAACAGGATAAATTGAATTGAAACTCAGCCATTAGGGACATCAGAGTTTTTAACAGGCATTGCTGTGTTAGACAAGCAACCGTCTGCCTCCCTTACTGTCCTGCCATATGCACTTTTCAGCCATTGTCCCAGGAGAGCCACTCCCTTGATCATTAGTTGTCATCCATTTGGTTGTATTTAATTAAGATTATTGATGGATCTCCAGGCACCTTCTGGGAAATTGTATTAATTTGGAACATACCAAGTGGCAGATTCCTTCATTCCGCTTTGAGACCCCTACTGACAGGCTGAAATTAATCAGAGACAAAATCCTTTTAGTGATATGACTAACTGAGCCAAAGCCTGCATTGGGCTTTAACAAACTGTACTTTTCTTTATGGTTCATTGTCTCAGAGCTGGCAATGAGAGATACATGGCCCTGCAGAGGGATTAGGAAGGATGGAGAGGAATGGAGCTGCAGAATTTGTTCCAGAGCTCTGACACTACTAGCATCTTAATTTGTGTGCTGTTAAATACATTCTTTACTGCAGAAAACACCCATATAAAGCCAAGTGTCTCAGTTAAAGATATTTCTGGGGATCTTGCAGTGGATCAGATCTGAACAAACAAGGAAGCATAGGTAATTGGCAGTGGAAATGGGCTGGTTTTCCTAGATCTGGGAGTTAGGGATTAGGGGTGGCAGCTCAGAACTACTCAGGTGGGCAGAATAATGCCTGGGCATAGGACARCTGAATAATGCCTGGCATAGGGCAGCTGATCTGTTTGAGATAGCACAGAATAAGAGCAGGTTGGAGTTGAGATGGGGTGTGACGTGTCTCAGGATGAGTGCATGAATRCATTGTGCTAATAAGAGCATTGAGTGTTAGTACTGTCCAAACACAGTGGCTCAGCCACAGGAGTTAGGTCTGAACSAGCCGGAAGCTTAGCAAACTGGTTRGTTTCACTACTAAAGTTAAAGTGGAAGTGCTTTAGATTTTAAGGCATCTCCAATTAAATTGGTTTAAGGATGTCAGGGTGAGGCTGCTGAGAATATATTGTGGTAGGTGAGAGCATTAGGAATTGGTGTGAGAAGAACTGGTATATTCAGGACAAATTTGTGTGAATGTACTGGAACTTACCTGAGAGCAGAATCCAAGCAGTTCAAAAAAACATGGATTTCAACTCTATTGTTTTTTCACAATACCACTGATTTCTTAACCTCATCCCCTAACTGATTTTTAGGCAGTATCTGGAGGTTTTACATAGCTACACCAGAAACTGAAGAATACATGGTCTAATTTCTCACCTCATAAAGAGGTATGTAAGATAACAGCTTCATTTTAAGGGTGTATATTATCACAGCATTGTTAGCATTGCGTTTAATTGTGGCATAACATTTACTGTAGCATCATACCTGGCCCTTACTCAGTTGTGATGTAGATTCTTTAGAAAACTGATGTTAATAGTTTAAGCTCTGTGGCTCATTTTGCTTTTGACCAGCTGAAATGCAAGCTAGGATTCAGCTTTAAATATGTTGATACAAGAAAAAAAATCTAAATGCTAATAAGTGAACGTTAAACTTTTAAATGGTTTTTATAGTTGTACATTGAGGATTCACATTGACACATCTGTGGGGTTCATTGTTGAGGGAATTTGTTTTCTGTAATGCCCTATAAAGTTAGCACTTTTGTCCCATCCATTAGTGACTTYGTCCTATCAGCTGTGTGAAATACAGGCTATGGAGAGACTTGGCTATTGAGTAGCATACCCCTTCCATATTCTCCCTTAAAATTAATGAGTAATATTAAAAATTAATGTKTAATAATAAAATCATGTCTTGCTTCAGACATCTCTGCATGGTGTGTGCAGACACCATCACATATCTAGGCTGATGCTCCAATACCAGACTGCCAAAAAAAAAAAAAATTCTAATGCAGACAGCCATAATTTACAGGAAGCTATTACAATTCTCCTTGTGTAGTTAGCCTTTCTATTTCTCTCCTCCCCCACCTCATTCTTCTTGGAATTGCTTAAAGGAGAAATCAGCTTTTGAAGGTGAAAGTRCTTGAAGGTGCTGCCCCCATTAGCTAATGTRATTTGGAAAGAGGGAGGCTGATTTACAGAGAGTGCAGTTCAGCTTCCCTTACTTCCTATACTTGTGTTTTTCCTTGTTACTGTTTCTTGGCAAGCCTAGGTAGGAATTGCAGGAGGCAAATGGAGCAGGGGAAAGTGGGTATCAGTAAGGGTAGCTAGAAGAGGCAAAACCCAACAGTAGCTGAACATGAACTGGAGTATTGAAATGTACTTCATGTCCCTGTCTTGGATTTGCAAGGTCTCCATTGTTTAGTGTTTCATGACAGCCTAATTTGAAAGGCTCAGCCTGTTTTCTTTCTTCTCTACTGGTAGTCAAGCTCAAAGGATAGCTGGTTTCTTGTATTTTCAGAAAAAAAATAGAAATGTTACTAAATCTTACTAAAATGTTTCAGAACTTCGAGATAAAGTGTTTGAATTTGGACCTTCAGAGATGAAAATTTACTGCTAGAAGAGGCCTAAAAGAAATCTTCTGTTTACTTGAAAATGTCTTCTCATACTCTTTAAATTGGACTCTAAGAATATACTATTTTTTAAAAACCCACAAAAATAACTACAGAATTGGACATACCAGAATTTATTGTCAGCAGATGTAGTATGTTCTAGTAACCATATTGAGAATATTTTGGTATAGGTCTGGTAGTGTTTATCTCAAGTTAACAGAATTTCTACAGTCTCGTTAACTTCCATGACTAGGCAAAGGGGAATGCTTTGGGGTTTATGTCTAGGAGGATGAATATATTTTAATCCAAATCAGTGTCCTGTGCAAAAAAAAAAGGGGGGGGGGGGGGGGGGGGGAAGGAAGAAATTGAGAAGAAAAGCATCTTTGATTTGGCCTTCTGTATGTGGTCAGAGAACTCCAGCTATTCCTGTTTCAATGGTAAAATGGGTTGTTTAGGAACTGCTCCATGACAACGATCTGAGTGCTTTGCATCCCCAGTGTTTGGTGTCTAGCTCCTCAGTTTTCTGCATCTGCCTTGCCCCTCCAGCTGTGCATATTGCTCTTTGTATCCCAGCCCTTGGAATGTTCCTGTGCCTTCTGTATTGCCTGCCTTTTACAGCTGGTGACATAAGCATTCCAGAAACTGCCATAAGTTGAGGACTTCCAGGACCTAGGGAAGAAACTTCTGGGAACAAGAGTTTTTTCCACCACGGAGTATGGGGCTGTAGGAACGATGGAAGCAGCAGTTTCAGTATCTTCATGGAAGGAACAATGCAGGGAGATCCAGCTGTAATGTAACAGAGAGAAATGAGGAGCTAAGACCTAAGTGATGTGAGTATGAAGCACCAAGAGTTTCTATACAGTTGCAGAACAATTTGAGAAGAGAACTGAGTGGGGTCCTCATCCATGTCTGTTGTCTATAGATTCTGAGGGGAGAGTGTCAAAAGGATGGAGGGATCCAGGCTCTTCTCTGTGGTGCTGCGCAATAGGACGACAGGCAACRGGCAGAAATTGAGGCACAGGAAGTTCCCTTTGAACCTGAACTTCACCGTGCAGGTGACTGAGCACTGGAACAGCCCAGAGAGGCTGTGGAGTCTCCCTCGCTAGAAATGCTCGATAAGCGTCTGGATGCAATCCTGTGCAATGCGCTCTGGGACCCTGCTTGTGCAAGGAGGTTGGACTAGATGATCCACTGTGGTGCTTTCCAGCTTCCCCATTCTGTGATTCCCGAAGTTCCATTTGAATTATTTGAAACAATCGTGATTTATTCCGCTGGGGCTGAAGTGTGCTTTCTCCTTCCTTGGTTGGTTTTGCCGCAGGTTTAGGGCGGTGAGCAGTTCGGCCGAAGGCGGAAGCTGTGCCGAGTCCCTCAATGTCCATGGCCTATCCTTGTCCTGCCGGGCAGGATGGGGCGGAGCGCGGCGGCTGCGCCGGGGGATGAGCCCCGCCCTGAGGGCGGCCCTGCGCGGACATGGCGGCGCCCGTGTACCCCGTGTGGGTGAGGCGCTGGGTGTCCGGGCAATGGCGGAACAAGAAGCGGCCGCCGATGCTCCGCCCGCCCCGGGCCCGGCCGCTGGCGCTGGCTGACAGGGTGGCGAACCGCCGGGAGCAGTCGACAGGTGAGCTCCCGGCGGCGCGGAGCGGGGCGGGGGAGGGCCGGGCCCGGCGCTGCCCCCGGAGCTGAGCCGCCACTGTGCCCGGGAAAGCCCCTTGTGCTCCGCAGGGCAGCAGCGGAGAGGGGCCGCTTTGGAACTCGAGAGCGAGTTCTGTGGGAAGGATCGCTTTCTCACATTGCAACCCTRAGTTTGCATCGTACGTGAATCAGGCGCGTTGCGTCCTAGCACGGACTTTACCTTAAGAATTCAGTCAGATACTGGATGGCTRCAGCGATTTGCTTTCTGGTAGCAACAACTTCTCTGCCCAAAGCGAAGCTGGGATCTTTAGTTTCGCGTTTTCTCACCTGCCTTTACCCCATCTTAAACTTCTCTGGAGATTTATCCACTGTGGAGATCGTTAGCGTGAAAGCCCAGATATCTGAGATTTTTGGTTGTGTCTTTCCCTTCCAGAGGCGACGTGCATTACAGAGATGTCAGTAATGATGGCGTGCTGGAAACAGAATGATTTCAACGACACAGCTTGTGCTGAGGAGATCCGGATGTTCTATGACTGCGTGGCAAAGGCAGAAGTAATTAGCCCCTCTTTTGTGCTCTTAAAGGCTAGTAGTAGGGAAGGAGGAAGCCTCCAGTCATCTTTTGTGTGCCAGCAAGAATAATCTTCTGTGAACAATTTGAGTGATGTTGTAACCCATTTGAGCAASAAAGAGCAATGAAGCTGGTGAAGGACATAGAGAGTCCTACAAGGAGGGGCTGAGGGAACTGGGGTTWTTTAGTTTGAAGGAGAGGAGACTCTGGGGAGACCKTTTTGCTCTTTACAACTACCTGGAAGGAGGGTGTGGCCAGGTGGGGGTCGGSCTCTTCTCCCAGGCAATCGGTGACAAGAGGGTACAGACTCAAGTGSCAGGGGAGGTTCAGGCTGCACATCAGGAAGAATTTTGTCACYRAAAGGGTGTTGAAGCACTGGAACTGGCCTAGGAGGCAGTGGAGTCACCATCCCTGGTGGTGKTCAAGAAATGACTGGACGTGTCACTTAGTCCCATGGTCTAGTTGACAAGGTGGCAGTCAGTCAAAGGTCGGACTTGATGATCTTGGAGGTCTTTTCCAACCTGTTTCTGACTTTGAAGACTATACATTTTTKAAAAATAAATTTCATAGTGTTTGGAAATTAATATATTATCTATAATCAGAAACCTCTAACATACTATATGATAAGCTTGAAATAAAATAATTTTCAAAATAGACTAAAGGTAAGTATATGTACTAAACTTGCTCTTAACCTGGTTTCAGGTTCCCAATTTTTTTAAATAACAGTGTCATCATTTAGATAGTTATTTACCATTGCTGTTTGACAGCAGAAGTGAAAAATTGTCCACAATTTATTTGGTAGATGACAGAGAATCAAACAAAAATGACAGAATAACAAAGTAAAGCTAAAAAGTCTGGGTTACCGGAAGTTTTTATCATCGTTAACTAAGAATATGGAAGGATGTTATCTGTGCAAGATGTCAGTCACTTATTGCATCATTTAAAGCTTGTGATTATTGAGCCAAATGCTATGTTAAGCGTTCCTTCAAACAGCATTTTTCTGAAAGAAAAATTCCCATACAATTAGTAGGAGTCTCTGGGAATGAGCATCAATTCTGCAGATAAACAGAGGTAAATATTTTKTGGGGTTTTTTTTCTCTTTCAGAAAGAGCGCAAGGATCAAAATGAGGACACCCTGTTATCCAGGGGAAACTTCCCTTCAAGCAAAGTGAACAAGCTCCTGAGGAGGTTTCCTCAGATCACACGTTATGCATAATGTTATGCTTGACTAAAGGAACTGGGGACAAGCAATTAAAGTTGGGGTCTTTGTTAAAAAAGAGGGAAGTCAACTTGAGTAACTGATTGATGTCAAGTGGTATGTGGATCTTGACCCTGCCTTTGATACCAGAGCAAAAACCACCCATCTTGAGTGTCATCTTATTTTGTTCATGAGGGTCTTACAGTGTTAGGATTTCTGCAGTGTGTTGTTCAACTAGCCTGCTCAGGTCCTCACTGTTAAATAAAACYGTCTAGGCATACATGTAAATGCATTTCCTAACGGGCTGTCTTTTTCTCACATGCAAGCTTCTTGTCCTGTTCTGGAGCTGCTGTCAAAAAGTGTTCAGGCTCAAACACTGGACCAACTTAAAATGGATAGTAAATTCATGGCTCATACTCGTACCTGTGTGTATACACAATTTGATCCCTCTTGAACTCTTTTAATTCCCGCTGCTGTAAAAAAATGGCTGTAGGATTTGGAAAAAATCTCCAGCAAAATTCCTTGTTAATACACWATTTGGTAAGTATCAAATAGAACTTTAGCATAGAAACTTGTGATTTAGGCCCTCTGGTTTGCAGGTGGGACASGTATGGTGCCACATGAGTTTGATTATTTTGTCTGTACTGTAGTGAAATAAAGCAMGACTGGTGTTTGACTTGGGCAACTCGTAATCTACAGCAAAATGTTTCATTGGTTTTTGGTAAACTGAAAGGGAGAGAGGCAGTTCAAGCATGGACTGATAATGTAATTAATTTTTAGTTTTGATTTGGGAGAGGTGGTTTCCACTACAGTACCACAAAACTACAAGTTTCTGTGTTAGGACCAGTRCCTAATTGGTGAAAAAAAAGCAGTGTCTTGGAGAACTGGTTTTRTAACCATTTATATCAGTAATGCTTTTGAGAGTTTAGAAAAAGCAGAATMAGAGGGGAGTCAGGCACACATACACTGTGCAATTACCCAGGTGCTGTACAGTTTGCTGGAGCTGAGTTCTCTGGAGCCCCAGCCTGATACTTGTTCATCACAAAAGTTTTGGTGAATGCTTTCAAGTTACTGAAGCAATTTTCACTTAACTGTTACTTACAGTGGCTCATAAGTGGATTATCCACTGGGTAGCTCATTCTTTGTTCCTATTATGACATAATTGGGTCTTTCACAGGACTTGGCTTCAGTAAGAAAACAATATTCACATCTGAGTTTGGGAGAACACTTTGGTTCTATGACATTGTGTATTTTCTGTCCAGAAGACGCTCTGAAAAAGAATGCTACTTGCTGTCCCTYTGTTTCTGGAAGATACAAACTAGATTGGGGGTGAGGAACTGATTCACCTCTGTTGATGATTTTTTTCATATTAAAACTTGGAATAYAAGTGTATCCTTGCATCTCTTAAGAAAGCACCTGTGCTGAATGTMGCAAATTCTAGTGTCTGCAATGAACACTCTTACATAAGAGGCTGTAACAGAGACRCTTAATGCCATTTTCTATTTTTACTTTTGAAATTTTGCACAGCCCCCACTAATCTGAACAGCTATTTTTGGATTATACTGCTTCATGGTGAGCTTCACAGTGAGCTTCACAAATTCAGTTGTTTGAGTTTTTGTCTCACCTTTTACATGTCTACTATAAGCTTGAAATTACTATGCTAAGTTTTTCCAAACCTTTACTGAGAGGAAGGGAGCAATGCTTTTCAGGTGCAGCCAGGTTTTATAATGCTTCCTATAAAAGTATTTGAGCAATCCTTTTGCTGTAACCAAAAACCCTTCAGTTACTGATTATCCTTGGCAATTTCAGCTGCTGGCCACTTTCCTGTTAYCTCACTGTTAAGCTTACATGGGGTGTTTAAATGCATTCTGTGACRTGCTCATATTGAGGATCACTCCATTAAGAGTTCAGCTGTGTACCCACAGGGAATGGCACTGTTCATTCTGAGTGGGGTTTGTACCATCCCGTGATGCTGTTGCTGGGGAGTAAAGAAAAACTGGGTTCTGGTGTTGAGCACACTGGTTAAGAACATTGCTGCCGAGACYTGTATGTGGTTGCGTGGTGGTGAAAGAATTAAACAAAAGCTGACTAGCTGTTCTACTCTCCTAAATCGGATTTACAGGATTTAAGCAAATCTTCTGGAATTCCTTGATCTTATTCCTGTACCTTATAGCTTGACTATTATACCAGCTCTGGGTATGATTGCTGTTAACTGCTCTTTTTAGGCTTTCACTGAAGATCTCTAAGGAGGTAGCATTAATATTTCAGCTGGTTTTGATGAACAGTCATCCTGCCAGTTCAGGAGAAACAGGCTGTATTCYAGAGAGCTAAGAACACTTTAGAAGATGGCATTTCTTGTTCAGAAGGGGCAATACAGAATAATCGAGTAAAATCAASACAGACTCTGTAGGGAATCATAGACTTACTGTAATAGAATTATGCATATATCAGGGTGAGAAGGTGACTAGTGTTAAATTGTGAATTGAGATATTTACAACTATTGAAATTTGCCCATGCAGGTAAGTTCAGTATGTTTTACCTTACCTGAAAATACATTACTGATCTAAACTACCATAGTTATATTGGTATAATTCCCTTTTTCGTCTTCCTTTCCACCTTGCAGAGTAGTCATGAGAAGCTTTTGAGAATCTGAGATATGTCATTACATGTGCCAGAAAAACAGGGTAGTCTTGGTAAGAAGGAAGTAGTTCCAAAAGGGGACCTGCGACAGAGGAGACAGCTGCAAAACCCACTATATCCTTCCAGTTTGTTATTCTTCCAAAAAGTGAATATAGGCTTGGACTTCTRTTGCTTTTGGTGTACTGGTCTGTGTTTCCTTTAAAATTATTTCATCTGTGAAATTACTTTCTTTAGGAAAACTTTGTCTTGAGAGGGAGGCAACTTRAAAGGTACCGTGAGAGAAATCCAGTCCAGGCTTCTGCTAGAGGTGTTAAACCCTGTGTGTTAGGGGCCTCAACAGTGAGTGTCTCATGGGATGGAGTTCTGAATGAGCATCAACAGCCTCTGCTGAGGAGTTAATTTCTCTGAATGCTAATAGGATTTCTGTTYCTGTTTCCAGTATATCCTTTCCTTGTGTTTTCACTGGAGTAAGTGGTTCTAAATTCTAGCACAGTCCCATATTTTTGTTTTTCTCCTTTGTGCTTACRCTGTCTGAGAGTTACAGTGTGATGGAGCATCTAAGCTATTTCCATCTGTAGGTCRTCTGCCTCCCTCACTATGAGGATATAGGAGATTTGCTCCTTATTAATTGAGTGTAATTCTTAGCCAAGTCCACTCCAGAAACAGCTCCTTTCTACCACTTAACGACTCCTGTAAAAGATCCAGCATGCAGTGAAATTTCCTTGCCTTTGATGAGTGACCGAGGATGAGGCAACACAAAACTGTCACATGAAGTGAGTAATGGGCAAAAGTGAAGGAAGAAAAAAAGGCTTTTTGTCAAGCCTATAGATTTTTAGCAGCCTGTTCCTTGTTTTTATGCTGAAGGTGTGTTTGGAAGGGCTACTCAGCAGACTTGGCCAGAAATGAGCTCATTTCTTAAGGTGACCTTTATATTTCATGCTGCAGAACACCATGAGTTAATCTCTCAAAAATCAGAATATAAATATAGAAAATGCCCATTACACTGAGCTGAAAAGCAGCACAAGGAACATGTAAAAAAAGAGATTTCCAAGACTGATCAGTTTCAAATGGACCAATTGCCTTCTTAGATTTTATAGTGTTTAAAGCTTGGAGCCTTGAACCCTAATTCATAAGAAGGAGCAGCAAGCTGAAAACATTAAAATCCCCCATGGGATTGTTTATGGTAATACAATAATGATTAACCCTCTGGAAAGCATCCTAGCCTAATGAGGGAAAATACAGCCCAAGGTCAAGGATACATTTGATGGCAAAGTTCTCTAGTGGCAATACCCATGAGGGCAAGATMCAGAGCTAATAATTGGGAAGGCACCCTGGAGAGGGCTGTGCCACCTGTGGGTTTTCCGGAGGAGATCTGGACGCAGCTTAATATAAAGTTTTCTGGGTCCCATTTACCTGGGTTCAAATGTGAGGAGGGCTGACCTCGGGAAGCTGCAAGCTGCTAATCGAGGAGGCAGCGGTGGGGGGGATAAAGTCCAGATTCCTTCCAACAAGTCTAATCGCTGGCAAATGTGCACGCACACGCCATTGCCTTTCCAGTTGTTGCTGGCAGCTCTGCAGTAGGACACAGCCCCAGCACCTTGCCGTGCTGCATCCTCTGTGCCTTGGGAAGAGGAGGAAGAGGCAGCTGCGGGAAGGAGGCATTGCAGGAGAGGAGAGGAGAGCAGAGGAGCGGGCGGCTGGCCCCGCCGCTGGGCAGAAGGGGCGGGGAGGCGGAGGCTGGCACTGGGAGCAGCGCGTACCTGGAGCACGGGAAGCTGTGGAGAGGAGGGGACAGCGGGCTGAGGGCTGCGCCCCACCGCCTCTGCTCGCCTCTGCCCGTCCTCCAACGCGCTAGGGAAATTCGGGGGAATGTTCTGCTCCCTTATTTCTCTCCTCTCTTGCCCTTTCTGAAGAGAAGAATCAAAGAGAAGAGATGCAGAGAGGAAGGAGAAAGTGAAATTGTGAGATGCTGCTGGGAACTTCGATCTCTTCCCTCACATCCCTTTCCCTGCGTAGAAATGGAAAAGGCATCCCGCTCCCTCTGGTGCAAAGTGGCTAGTGTGGGAAAGCAGAACCTGGCAGCTGAACGAGAATGTGATGCTTGAAGAAAGAACCATCTGCTCACTTTGTACATGAGGGATGGAAATCTCAAAAATACTTGGGCTCCTGGTAGAGCTGTTGAGTCTGCTATCCTGTCTCAGATGTGTGGAGGTAAGAAAAGGTTATTTTTCTATCTGCTTATAAGAAGTCACATGTCTCGTTTAATATCCTTACTCTAAGTGGAGCTTGCTATTATTGAATATGTTTTCTAATGCATTTAGGCAGCTGTGGTCTGTGGGAAGGACTAGGGGCTTGGGGAGAGATTTGTTTCATTGCGCATATGAAATTCGGAAAAAGAAACAAACTGGGAAAAGCAGGATGCACAAGGGCTTGCAGATGCTTTGGCTTGGGTTTCCAGTGTTTCTCAGGCACTGCAGTGACCCTGGCAGGAGAGATCCTTTGTTTCTGTTCTTTGCTGATTGTCTCTCTTGCTGTTGTGGACAGATGATTTATAGCTGCATGGAGCTAGGGCAAAGCCTGTGGCACAGGCTGATTGTACTGAATTTAATTGGTGGTGATGGTCAGAGTTGGGGTATTTTGGAAGCTGCTACAGAAACTGGCAGCGACTAATCTTCAATTAGAAGGGAAGCTTATTACTTGGACTGCAGTACTGCTTATGGTCCAGCTCCAAGAAGAGCGGGTTCAGGCTCTCATATCCTGCTGTTAGTCTGACCCATCTCTCTCTGTCACTGACAGGCTGACATGTGTCTGCAGGCTAAAAGCTAGGGCTTCAGGGACCTGGATTGTGGCGAAGTCACAAGAGTACAGCTTAGCTCACTTGCTACTCTCTGCAAAGTGCTTTGAGATCCCCAGCTAAGTCCTTCAGTAGGGTTGATCCTCAAACCATTACGTAGGTTTGCAACARCCTGATATATGCAGAGAGATGGATTTTTGGCTGAAAAGGGTTTATCTCTGCATCCCTTTGTGTATATGCACCTGAGATCTGATCAGCTGCTTCTGAACTATGTCAGGAATTCATCTTCCATATGCAGCATCACCTTTTGACTTCTGAAAGGTGATGTTGTAGCTTGGTTGTCAACATTTGCTGGACTGTATTCATGAGCTTGATTTGAAAATTATATCTGACATGAGTAGGTGTTGTTCTTGTCAGGTTTCTGTGGGAATTATCTCTGCTTATTCCAGAAGTGGGTTTGGTTTAATTCCAAATTTAACTTTTCCCCTTTTCCAGGGAGAGGTGAACCTGAGAGAGGCAAAATTACTGTATTTTGAAGAAAAACACAACCATTGCCAATAGTGATTATTCTTTAGCTGCACATCTCTGCTCTGTGAATTACAACTCTTTGTTCATATAAAAGTATTACAAATGTTCATTTAAAATATTTAGAAACCAATTAAGCTACAAGGAGCCAGCTGAAGCATGTACAGTTTCTTCTTTTCACTCTGGGTCTGTGAAGTTCTTGCACTTGCTTGTAYACTATGTAGTGGTGTTGAGTGGAGATCCCTATCTCTCAGCCTGAAGGCAAGTTACAACCACAAAAAACACTGCCTCTTAGAGGAAAGGCAGTTTTGGGGCCAGACAGGATGTTAGAATTCTGACAACTTTGTTTCGTATTTTTTGGTTTTAGCTATTTAACCCCATTTGGATAATAATACTATAAGCCATATCATATTTTCAAGTATTAAAAACAAAATTCTCAAAAAGCCTTSTTGGATTTTCTTCGTGGATGTCTCCCACTTTATATGTGGATGTTTTTACCATTTTAACAGGGATTCTGGGGTCATCATCCTGTCACTCACACAGATAAATCTCTGCTGCTATGGCTATRGATGACTTGCCCTACAAATGGAGAGAGAACAAGAATGAGTAATGAAAACTCATCATTTTTCTTACTGATAATAATGATTTTCTTCTAGATTTTCTTTCCATAGGTATCTCACTCAAACTTCCAACTCTGTTGGAAAAAAAAAAACAAGCAGAGCCCTGTAATGTAGTGCTTAGATCAAGGGTAAATCTCTGCAGGCCAGTAATTATTCATTTTGCTGTTAGTGGACAGAGCCATGGGTGTATTTGAAGAGGAGCAATAGAGACCAGAGAAGAGGCTTGTTACTAGGGTGTGTTTGCCTAAAGCTGCAAAAAGCTGAGCTGCTTTTAGGACATGCCCATGTTTATTTCATCGGATAATCATCTCTCTGCTTTTGCTCTGTTTCTTTTCCCAGGCTTTCTTGGGATCCAAGCCCAACCAAAACCATTTGCAGAGTGCAGGTAAGAACAAGAAGTTATTAATTCAGTCATTGGGCAGATTCTTTCCTGCAGTGGTGATCTGAGACCACAGGCACCAGAACCGCTGCCACCTGGCCTTCTTCCTTTCTTTCCATCACTTCTTCAGTCTTTTCTCTTGCCCCAGTGTCTCTTTATCTCCATCACCAACATGGCCAGACTACTTATGTTTCTTCATGTCCAATGCTCTTGCAGTTTCCTKCTCCTCCCACATGTTCTTTTCCTTTAACCTTTTTCTCTGCCTTGGTCTTTTTTTCATCCTTACCTTTCCTCTGCTCTAATAACTACTGAATTCTTATACACCCACTCTGAGGGTCTCAGTTGATGTYAAGCATACGGTTTGTTTGCCAGAAGCAACTGCTTCTCATTTTTGTACCTTGCATTTAACCTTCAGCTGTCACTTATTCCCTCTGGGCTTGGCAGTGGCTAGAAGGCAAATGATATGATGCAGTTTCTCTGTACCCTTGCTCTTTGCCYATGTGCAGAAGGGCTTTCTGAAAGTGTTGGCTTCTTTTTGTTTGCTTAGTGAATAGAGCTGTAAAAGTTTCCCTTTTCTCAGTCTACTTTTCCCATGTTATGGACTCCAAAAAGCCCATAGAACCTGGGTTTTTTTCCCCCACTTTGTTATTTCAGGGTCATGAATGAGAGTTTTCTTCTTTTGTTAAATATCATAGGATCATAAGGATCATAATAAATTAATTATTTTTATACTAGATATTTCACAATGATACCTGCACTTCCCCCAAAATAAATTCCTTTTCCCTTTCTATACATTGGCCAAGTTCAGATAAGCCAGGTGGTCTGCTGATGTGTATAGGGAACATACACACAATGAAATATCCATACACGCAATGAAATACAGTGTCATTTCCCACCTTCCTGCTTTGTACAATGTTGCTCCAAAGTGAGTACATATATTGCATGTACAGTAACAGGAACTGGTTCAAGTTGTCATGTTTGGGCCCAAAGTTAACGTTTTTCAAAGGTCTGTCTGGGCAGTTCATTGCTTSAGATCAATTTGTGGTTTAGATAGTAGTATGAACATTCTTTGAGCAGCACTTTGAAGAATGRTAGAGTTGAAATCAAGCAAGCAGCAGTTGAGACTGCAGACACAGGGGGTGTTTCACATAACCAGGTGGTGTCTCCCACATTGTCTGAGCTTCAGTGTGTGATGCCTGATGCTAAYGCTTCCTTCCTGTGCCCAGCGCCCAGCGTGTGTGCTGTGGGACCTCTGGGGTACTACAATGGCTCACTGGCAGTCACCGAGGCYGGGGCAGAGTGTCTCAACTGGGCAGAGTTCCCTGATTATGTTCAGCAGTACCCAGACCGTGGCCTGGGGGACCACAACTACTGCAGGAACCCAGATGGAGGAATGACACCCTGGTGCTTCTACCGGCTTGTGTCGGGGGCCATTGGCTGGGCCAACTGTGACTGTAACCAAGGTAAGGGCTGTGCTGCCTCGGGGCTTGGGCCAGCAATGTGTGCTGCACAGACTTGCAAGTGGCAGGTGGAACATCCTGTGAAAGAAGCACAGTACAAGAACTGTTCTGAATTGTTGAAATAATTAATACTAGAGGCTAGCCTGTGTGGGAGAAGAACGTCTGTATAGAGTAGGGGGTGGATTTAAGCTGCTGTAGCTGTAGTGCCTTGTGTAGATGTTTTATTCTCATACAAGGAGACCTCTTTTTTTTCTGCTGCTAACTTATGCCACTTTGAAAACAGTTTCAGTTACATGGAAAACAACCCACTTCTGCTCCTTTAGGATCCATATCAGAGCATTCCTCCTGTAAGTGTAGCAGTTCAAATATAACAAGAAAAAAAACTTCTGTGGTAAGGCAGGTCATAGGCTTGTGTTAAACTTCCTCAGTGCTGGCACAAGGACTGCTGCTTACTTTGAGGTAAGCAAGGAGCYGAGTTCTCTCAATGCATTGGCTGCTGTGCAGCATTCTTGAAAATGTCCTATGTCCTGACCTTCCTTGCTTTTCCCACATTTTGCAGAACAGTTGAAGCACCAGTGTCACAAATGAATTGACAGTGTTTTCCCTTGCCAGTGGATGTGCTTTCAAAGATGGCTTCATTAAAGAGAAGCATTTAAGTGAAGTGGTGCTGTGTGCCTACCCTGAGGTACTACAGACAAGTGTGTCCTTCTTGGACATAACTGTACAAAACTGAGCAAGGAGATGTGCTTTCAAAATTGTGGAAGATATTTGTGGTGGGGTGAGAATTGAAAGAGCATTTACACTGGCACTTGCTTTTCTTAGAGAAGTTAAAGAGGCTTCATCTGCTGTTACTGAAGATTTTGCTGCAGCAGCAGACTCATGCGGGTGAAGTGGTTGATGGAAATAGATCAGTGGAGTGTCAGAAGTAATTAGCCTGCCATTTCCATAGGTAGCATGTAAAATCATCCCCATTCCACAGAAGGAGACTCCAAGAGCTGTGGCAGAAACCAAATTTCCTAATGGTGTTACAATGGATTTGAAAAGAGCCATCCTCCCAGGCAGCCAATGCTGGGACAGGGAAGGTGCTCCATCCTACACTCCTTCATCCATATCACTTTAGTGCCAGCACAGGCAAAATAGGGGTGAAAGAATCCAAGCATAGTTCAGCTCAGCTGCATGCAAGTCCAAGACTTGGTGGTCTAAAACTTCCATCAGTCCAGCAGACAGCAGCTTGTTTTTGTCTGTTTTGTGTCTTTTGGAAGGTGCTGTGCGGTTGGCTGAAGACAGTAGTGTGGAGCTGTACTTCAATGGACTCTGGGGTACCATCTGTGCTGACCACTGGACTGACTGGGATGCCAGTGTTGTCTGCAGGCAACTAGGTCTCAGGTGGGAACCTCAGTCTGGTTGTGAGGGTTACATGCTTGTGTGCCTTTTGAAAGAACAGCTCTATGGTTACAGTCCCTCTGACCCAGTACGGGGAAGGAGTTTGTTTTGTGGGTTAATTTCCCACTTACCAGGATCCTTTTGTACTGTTTTCTTTCTGTGGCTACACCCAACCCAATCAGCATTTTCAAGACTTTTTTTTTAAATAATCGTTTCTGCTTCATGCTGCAAACTGTAACAAGTGAGCGGTGAGATCACATTCCCTTTTTATGATCATCAGCCAGAGTTACTGTAATCTAGCAGAAATTTTAGGAGTATGAACTGTCTTTGGGTGTCTGGGATTTGGAAATTCTGACTTCCAAAGAGCAGGGATAAGGTCCACAGAAAAGGAAGAAGGTGATTGAGGTACTTTGGTGTTTGAGTCTGTTGATGGGTTTGTTCATTACTCTCAAATAAGGGTGCCATTTCTGACTACACTAACTCCTCTGCAGTAGATAGGCACACAAAAAGGTGACAAAGTGCTTTGTGCTTGCTTGTGCTTTCCCATCAGACTGTAAATGGTCACCTCTTTATGCACTGATCAACTGGGCACACTGGGATGTGAAATGTCACAGCTGGACTGGAGAGTCACAATAACTGAGGGAACTTGTAAGTCAAGTTGTGCTGTGGCATTTCATCACTGTTGCATCCTCTGTACCAGTGAGATCGGCACAGCTGGGAAGAAGAGTCATCCTGGGCCATGGCCTGTTCCCCTGCATCTGCAGTCAGCAAACTGCCATGGAGATGAGGAAGCCCTGCTGCAGTGTGCCTATCAGGAAGTTATGTCAGAAGCTTGTACCCAGGGGACTGCCACAGTAACTTGTGTTCCTCCGGAAGGTAAATCTCCAGGGAAAGTTTGTTCCCTGTGTCTTCCATCACTGTTGCTGATAAGATGTAAAACATGAAGCTGTGGAGAGAAAATAATTGAAAAATGTTCTTTCACCAGCTATGCAGGTGATTTTCTTCCTTCCAGTGGAAAATTGTCTATACCCAGTCCCAAATACTCATAATGGGTATACATCTCAATTATCAAAAGATGGCTGTTGCTTATGACCCCATCCCCTTTTTATCAAGCCAGGTTTTTGTCTGCACACAGCAACTCCTGGTCACCACAGCAGCCAATTAAAGAGCCATCTCTGGACCAGCAGTACCYCACTCTGAGGGCTGCAATCATGGGTACTTACGGGGGGCCTAGAGGGGAGGATGTACTAAGAGAGCAAYGCAAGAGCTCCTCTGGCTAATGAGTGGTTCTGCACCCTGAACTGCTGGATGTGTTTTGTCTCTGTCTTGTTCTGTTGTGCTCTCTTTCCCTTTCTTGAAGCACAGGTGTAGGTGCCCCTCTGCGTATAGTTGGGGGAAAGGAGAGTTTTGAAGGAAGAGTGGAGGTTTACCATGATGGCAAGTGGGGAACCATCTGTGACGACCAGTGGGATGACCGGGATGCTGAAGTAGTCTGTAGACAACTGGGACTCAGGTAATTTCCCTGTAGTAGAAGCAGGCAGAATGAAGAACATGAGAGTATGTCTCTCCACTACATTACCAGCCCTTCCTATAGGAGATGTACAGAAACCCTGGGAAACAAAATTCTGGACTGATCATCCTATGAAGGGGTTTTGTACTCCATTCCCGTCAATGTTATGGGTTTGTTCTGTGTAAAAAAAATTGGTACATCCCTGTCTAAGGATTGTTTGTGTTTACCCCTGTTCATTATTTTGGCATACATGTTCTTAACGCAAATCTTGTTGGCCTCAGTGATAGCTTGTCATAGTGATTTCCACATGTGAACTGCAGTTGTGAACTGCTTACTTGGTTAAGTTTTAACACCTCCATTTTCACTGTCTGCCCTTAATCTCTTCAGTCAGGAAAGCAAGAGAGGGCCCCTCATTCTCCTGTGTGTCATTCAGTGCTTAACATGAGAGCTGTTATATTCTGAGCATTCTTGAAAATTTCATCGGTATAGGATTRTTTAAAATAGATTATTCAAATTTGAGATCCCTCAGTCTTTGGGAGTKTTTCCTGTTACAAGATGGTAACTGAGATTGATGTTACATCATTGTCTGCAGAAGTCCCCATGTGTCTGAACTGTTGAAGTTGCAGGCATGTTTTTATTATTTGTTGGAAGAGCCCATTAAAAGCTTTCCAATAACATATTTTGGTTAGCAGTTGGCAACTCCACTGTGTCAAAAATACAGATGATCTTTGGGAGGACAGTGACCCAAAAAAGTCCCTGTGCAAGGCAGAATCTGAGGATACAAGATTGTGGCCTTCCTTACTGAGCGTACATGTTTGTAATGTTTACAGTGGGACCCCAAAAGCCTTGTCATGGGCTCACTATGGGCAGGGATCTGGCCCAATTCTGCTGGATGAAGTTCAATGCTCAGGGAAYGAACTCTCCCTTGATCAGTGCAAGAAGAGTGACTGGGGACAGCAAAACTGTGACCACATTGAAGATGCTGGCGTCTCCTGTAACCCTTTCACAGGTACAGATGTCCAGCTTTGCCAGTCAGATGCGGTCTGTCTTACCCCACGTTACGTGGCTTGCTCAGCAGGTAACCCCCTGCTTCTGGATCCTGCACAGCTTCTTTGTATGGCTCCCACAAGGGCTGCCAGATGTGGATGCAGAGAGCAAGGAGAAATGGGAATGGATCAGAAGCAGACTAGGTGGTCTTCCCATGTTTTGCTCAGGTGGTGTGGAAAGACTGAAGTGAATCCTCCCCTTACAGATGGATATGTTTGGAAGCAATGAATATTTGTTTTTTAAGTACCCACAGACATCTGTGTYTTGTTTTTTTCACTGATGGGTGGTACAGAGACCTAGCAGTGGTGCACATGCTGTTTGTTTTCTCCCCTGCTGAGTGCTGCCCTTTCCTTCTCRCACCCCTTGCAGAGGGCACTGTCCGGCTGGCTGGCGGCCTCAGCCCCAGCGAAGGCAGGGTGGAAGTTTATTACAATGGAGACTGGGGCACAGTGTGTGATGATGGCTGGACAGACCTCGGCGCCCAGGTGGTCTGCAGGCAGCTGGGCTTCAGGTATGACTGACAGTGTATGTAGTGTCTGTGCTTCCTAATTTCAARAATTACACTCCATCACCCTTCACTGGGATAGGCTGGACCTTAATCCTTCAATGCTGTCTTTGTTTGAAGGCTTATTACCATTATACAACTTAAGGAAAGATTAATAGGTATCCACATCCTTTCCAAAGGGAAAAGATAAACTTTATCATCTCTTGCCTCAACCTGTTTCAAAAGCAGGTAACAGGCTTAATACTGTCCATACGCACCCCTTAGCAAAGTCCAAAAATTCTCATTAATGCCCCTTTAATTTGCAGGTGTCACCTCTGCTCTGTCTGATGGATATCATCCATCTGCTGCATCAGCTATATGTATCACCTGCTTCAGTAGTTGAACAAAGACCATCAGGACAAAAAAAGAGTAGTAATGGGGATTTTCAGCCCATTGTTGAGCTGTCATCCTTTCAGAAAGGAGTTTGGGAAAGATTTAAAATCAGGRTGCTATAGTCTCTGAGCTAGTAAARTGGGTTTTCTAAAATTTCAACTTTATAGACCAAAAAATTACTAAACCAAATTCTTCCCTTTGAGTTCAGCTACATACTGTGTTTGTCATCTTTTAGTGCCTAAAAGTTTGCAGCTTTCTGCATTTCAATTTCAGGTAGCTGTTTCCTATAAAAAGAAGTAGAATTACTTAAATGTTGACATTTTTGATGCCTTCTGTGCCAGCCCCTGACAAATTGATGTAYCTGGTGCTGTATCTTCAAAGCAGCCTCTGCTAGCCCTCTGTGCCTTTGACCAGACACTAGATAATGGACTGGTCCAAGCAGGTCTCCCTGAAAACTGAGGCTGGTGAGATGRGAAGGTGCTTGGTTGCCATCCTGTGTGTCCACAGAGTGGTTTAGGTCAAGAGGCCACAGTACCATAGTTAAGCAGGGGAGTTTGCTTTTGGATCTGAGCTTAGGTCCCTCTGTGGGTGGCATTTAGAGTTTTAATGTYATTTTCTCTTTCCTCTAGTGGTCCTGCTGCTGTGGCTTCTGAAGGCGACTTTGCTGCTGGCCAAGGCTTCATCTTACTGGATGATGTGGCATGTGTGGGGACAGAGCTGTCCCTCCTCGACTGTCCCCACAGCAATTGGGGGCAGCATGACTGCTCGCATGTTGAGGATCTGGGAGTCCGCTGTTCCCCAGAAAGCAACACAGTCATGGATGGCAGCCTGGGTAACTCACCTTGCTCTTGCCCTGAACAGTGGGGAAGTTTCACCTTCTGGTCTGTTGCCTTGGAAGCTCTGGCAGATATGGGAGTTTTCCCTGTGCTGTTTCCACAAGGGGTCTGCTTTTTGAGGAGGAAGGAACCCTGGCTGAATGGAGGCAGAGCCACAAATCTGTGGCTCCACCCAACCTACAAGCAGATCAGCAGATAAATGGATACTGGAGAGAGTTGTATTGGCAGTCTCTGAAACAAACCTGAGAGGCTCAGGGACAGTGGCTGCCTTAGTGTGCCATTGCTCAAGGGATCCCTTTAACTAGACCTTTTAGGAAACTGGTGTGGTTACATTCGTGTCATACCTTGCCAAGACAAGAGGATTTCAGATGCAAGGGTTTGTTGTTTGCACTCCCTTGTGTGGATGGCACACTTTTAATTAAAATTGTGAAAGTATTTCAAGTTAGCATAATTTCCTCATTTATATAATGCCTGATACTCTCCCCTTTCCTTACTACAGGAGACTTTCCAGTTTGTCAGACATTTGTTATTGAAATAGTTAGCATCCAACATTTTTGTTTTTCCTGGATGCAGAACTCTTCTCTTGCTTAGAATAATGTAATAGCTTTATAATTAAATGGATTTCTTTCCCAGGCATGTTTAAACTTGTCTAACTCTTGGCTTAGGAGTCAATAAGTTTCTTTCTGTTCTTTTTCTCCTCTCTACTTAACTTTCAGAGTATAATCCACTGATGATTTCCAGTATATATTAAATAAATTAATATGTATGTAGTCTTCTGATTCAGCACAGAGGTAAAATGACTTAATACAGACACACTTTTTTTTTTCTTTTTTTTCCCTTCCCCCTCCCCTTTTTGTTTTAAGCTTACTGATGTTTGGGATTGATATTTTTCTATAGAAGCCAAACTTTGGACTCCTAACCCCTCTGGTGTTTTTGCTTGCAGCAGCCCATGTGTTTTCACCTTCAGGACCCCCTGTGCGGCTGGTGGATGGAGAAAGCACCAAGGAAGGCCGGGTTGAGGTGCTACTGAATGGGCAGTGGGGCAGTGTCTGTGATGATGATTGGACAGACAGAGATGCCACAGTGGTTTGCAGGCAACTGGGATTCAGGTAAGAGCTGTGGTAGGGGCATCTTACAGAGCGTTCTCAGGGGGAGCACTTCTGGGCTTGTTTCTGGGGCTTAGTTTCTTAGTTTTGGCACACCCAAAGGTGCCAAAGGTGCTTGAGGGAGTAGGTTGCTCTTCTCACTGTACTACTGTCTGTGTGTGGAGTGACATGTAAATATGACTCCTCTTAAAATGCACTGGTGCCTCAGGTTCACTTGCCTCCTGCTCACTGCAAATTACCCACCCTCTCTAATTGCAGTGGTACAGCAAAAGCCAGGGCAATGGCTTATTTTGGTGAAGGCCATGGGCCCATCCATGTGGACAACATAGAATGCAGTGGCATGGAGCACGCCCTGGGGCAATGTGCCAGGTCTGACACCAGGATTCACAGCTGCTGGCACAGTGAGGATGCTGGTGTGATCTGTGACTACGTTGAAGAGGAGATCCAAGGTATCAGGAGAACAGGTGACATGCCCATTTCTTCTATGCAGGAATCTGGAGCTCTGGTTGTAGGATCTCTGCATGCTTTTTGTGTTTTTTTTTCCCTGTCATTCTTGTCTTTGGCTGAAACTTCACCCACAAAATTAGCATGCTCTGTCCTGCACCTCCTACTTTTTTCTTGTTTTCATTGTATCTTCTTAGGAGCACAGAGTGTTCCAGTTTAGTCTGAGGTGCTCCACGCGTGTGAGGCCTTTGAGCCTGTGGAATTTTCCCACAGCCAAGTCACCATACCCTTCCTTAGAACAGCAACCATGAGCAAGCTTTGGGGTTTAGAGTACTGAGGAAGTATAGGTATGGATCCTATTCCTGGCATAAGACTATAGAGACTGCAGGTAAACACCTGCAGTGAAATTAAGGAAACCTATGGGATCAAATCTTCTATGAATTCCATATGCACAACACAGTKCAGTCCATTACCTTGAGGATTAATGCCCTCAGGGAGGTGAATAGTTCTGCCACAGCAATGCTGTCTTAAGGTGAAGGTCCCTACCCAACTGCTCTAACTTTRCTGTGCAGGTCCAGAGTCTGGTGTGTGTGGGATGCGCCTGCTTCACCGTCGCAAGAAAAGGATCATAGGTGGAAACAAGTCTCTGAGGTACTACCCTGTAACTGCTGAGAGGGCCAGACTGGTTCCAGTTTTCTGTTGGGCTCTGGAAATRGCTTGGCAGATGCTGACTACTTAACATCCTCCACTTAATTATGGTACTCAYGATTTTTGAACTTGGTTTGAAGCAGTGTGCTATCTAGGGAAGAATGCAAGCCAGCTGAGCCCAGATGGGACAGAGTGGATTGGAAAAGAAGAAAATGTGTGTGACACTTCTTATTCCTCTGTTTCTTCTTCAGAGGCAGTTGGCCATGGCAGGCCTCACTGCGGCTGAAGGGTTTTCATCGAGATACTCGTCTGCTGTGCGGAGCAACGCTGATCAGTAACTGCTGGGCAGTGACTGCAGCCCACTGCTTCAAAAGGTGTGTTTGGGAGTGGGAAGCCTTGAAGGATACTCAACGATGAACAAGATAACCTCATACAAGCTTATCCTTCCAGCCCAGTAAAGTTTCCACAGCAGCAAAATTTCTAAACCATGAGTTTCAGGTTATGATGTGTGTGATCTTGGAGTGCTTGTGGGGATGACTCAATATAGACTCACTTTTTCCTTCACTCCTTACACCTGGCCTCGTAACTTTGAGGCTTTACAGTTTAAAGGGAACCAGCATTTTGCCACTCTTAAGTGCCTTATGGAAGTGTGAACAGGTCAGTTCACAAGCCTGTTGCAATGATAGTAATCATTTTTATAGGAAAAAAGTCCTGTGCAGGGTGGATAGTGATTTGGGACAYCAAATCTACAACAGCTGGCATGATCATATCTGCTAGAGATCTTGTGGTATGARGAGGTGGTTCAGTCTCATAGCAACTGAAACTTGTGTGAATCTGCTTCCCTCTTAGTAGGAGCATCGAGGTCTTGAGTCTGTTTTTCTSCAGGTTTGGTGTTGATGTGCGACGCTACCTCCTGCGGGTGGGAGATTACCACACAGGCGTGAAGGATGAGTTTGAGAGGGAGCTGCCCTTGGAGCGGATTGTCCTCCACAGGAACTACTGGGCTGGCAGCAATGATAATGACATAGCCCTGGTCCGGGTGCGGGGCAGAGAAGGGCACTGTCTCTCCTTCAATCACCACGTTCTGCCCATCTGCCTGCCTGACAGGAGAGAGAGGTCTGACATCAACAGGCAAGCCTGCATCATCTCTGGCTGGGGAGACACAGGTGAGTGGTGGGGCTTTGAGGGACAAAAGAGGTGAGGAAGTCTGGCTTCAGAAGYCTACATGGGCCATTAATTTATGTCTGCTCAAGGCTATGTTCTTACTGCTCCCATTGTTTGTGCCAGTGCATGGTGCTAAGGAATGGGGAGATSAGGTGGGTTTTGTGCTATTGTGTTTTCTTCTGATTTTGAGGCTTACTGAGTGAACAGTAAGCTTTGGTTTCCATAGCATCCCTCTCAAGCTGTGGGAGAGACCAGTGCTGCCATCTGGCCACAGTCCTCTCTTTCTTTGCATCTCTATACATGTGTTTGCTCACAGCAGAGCCCTTAGGGAGCAGCCTGTGCACAGCCTCTATGGGAAGCCCATGGGAGGCCCCCATGTTTCCATGGCCTCCTGCCTTCTTCATGATACTGTCATAGTGAAGTGACTTAGAGGTGGAAGGAGCCCTCTGAGGGAGAAATCTCTCTCAGACTATCTTGCTCAATATCCCTGTGTATTTCTGCAAGGACTGATGGGCTCTGAGTCTGATTTCTGCCCTGGGCTCAAGACAGCCTGGACCTATCCTCTTTGAGAACATTGCTGTGAAGCTTCCAAGATAAAAGGAAGCAGGGAGCCTTTCTGGGGCTGCTGTGACTGGAGAAGAGCCATATGTTTAGAAAGACTTCCTGCCAAAAGCCCCAAGAGCTTGGCTGTTGGTTTGGACTTGYCCATCCTTCTCAGCTGTTTCCCTAGCTATTACCCCAGCTGTCTAACTGCAAGTACATATTTGCCTTTGAGTCAGTTGTGCYAGCTGCATGTGTCATTTCAGGATGTTTGGGGTGGATCAGGGAGCAACTTAGCCATGTAACTACCTTAAGCTGTACTGGAGCTTAGTGGCTAGAATCCTTCCCACGCACCAAATCCAGCTTTCTCAATGAGGAGCTGTTACCAACTACCTCGTGAACTTACATAAACCTTGGGCACAGAAAGGTCATACTCTAATATAGCACATTTGCCTTAGGTTCTGAACAACTCTGGGGTCATAAAGAGATTTGATCAACTAGACACAAGTCTGGCCTAAGATGAAGTGAACTCCCTTTGAGAAATATTTCAGTGCCTTTGAAACATCTTCTAAAACTTCTTTGAGGATCGACCATTTAACAGATACTACTGCATTTATTCTCTTGAGAAAACACTGTCCTTGTTTTACTGAGGAGGAAACAGAGGTTTGCAGTGCTGAGATAAATTGAACAAGGTTCAAGTTACTTTTTGACAAAACCAGGGGTAAGACTCGTCCTTTGATCTAACCTTTTTGTACAACCCTCTTCCCACATCTTTGATCTTACAGCTCTTTTTTTGTGGTCTGGCTTGGCATCAGTGTTTTCTGTAGTTCTCGTGGTTCAGAGATGCTGAGCTCAGCCTATTTCTGCGATGCAGACTTGGCATGAAACCTATGTGTCTGTTTTTGTAGGGAGCACTGTTGCACCTGGTTGCTACTGTTGTCTGTACATGAATCAGTCTGGCTGATCTRTTTTGTTCCAGGGAAGTCCTACTCAAGAACCCTGCTGCAGGGGGTGGTGCCTGTTCTCCCGAGGGAAGACTGTGAGGCCCGTTATGGGCGGAAGTTCACCAACCGCATGATTTGTGCTGGGAACCTCTCTGAAGATAAACGGGTGGACAGCTGTCAGGGTGACAGTGGAGGGCCACTCATGTGTCAGAGATCAAATGGACGCTGGATCATTTTGGGTGTCACTTCCTGGGGGTATGGCTGTGGTCGGAAGGATTCACCCGGTGTGTACACAAAGGTCAGCAAATTCGTACCCTGGATCAARAAAGTGACCAAGCTAAAATGAAAATGACTGAGCTCTAGGAATTTCAGCATGTGGTCCTTAGTGCCCTGCAGCGGCAGAAGGCTGTGGCTTCTGGACTGTGACTGATGGAGATTTATTTTGTCATTGGACAATGGCAAAAGACTTTAATGTAGAACTGAAGGAAAACAGCTAAGACTGATTCTTTGAAGTCTTTGGTTTCACTTTAGTCTGTAATCTGTAAGCAGAGAAAGCAGGTGCCCACTGGTGACAATAATAAGTATACRTTGCTCTAATATCTGAATCCTGTAATGCAATCACACATTCCTTTGCCCCGGTACACAGAAATGGTAGAGGTAAAGAGATGCCTACTMCTGCAAATTTATTCAGATTGTGTATTTGGACAGTTGAATCATGCTGCAAGGAGAGGTGAGATGGTTGCAAGATGGCACCAGGTGCTGGCATAGTGGAAATCTTTGGATATTTTTTCATAACAGCTCTCTTTAATTCCAGCAATCAGAAGATTTGATGTGAGTTGAGAAAMAGGCCAACAGTTGGGTTTTTTTCCTTCCCTGTTATGTCTCTAGGGGGAACCTTTTCTCTTCTGAATAGTAGGTTTGCTTCCATATAATCCCTTTCAAGTGTCTGCCCAGGCTAAGAGATGCTTTTCCTTCCTGCTGTAATTCTCTGTCACACATTTCCAGCTGCCAGATGCTATGTTTTTATTGCTGCTTTTTTGCTATAGTAGTTCATGTGTGGTTGGGCTTTTTCTTCTTTCCTTAAAGTAGCATCTTCTACAATCAGTTGTTGCTGTGAGAGGCAGTAGTTTTCTTGCCCTCTTGATTGCTATGAAAAACTTAAAAATGTGTCCTCAAATGGCTGAATAGACGTGTTATTTTTCTTTAAATCCAAATGTAATCTTAATCTCAAACATTCAAGTGTTGAATCGTGATTCAACAGCACTGTGGGGACTTGCTATTGGTCCCTTATTCACCATAGTTATTAGCTGCCCTTTGTTTGTGCTGCTAGTCTTTAATATCTCTGTGTTCACAGTTTTCCCATGAAATATGGAATTTCTCCTGGGGTATAGATACAGCTCCAGCAAATTACTCATTCTTTGTGAGAAAGACTAAGTGTGCTGCACAGTAAGCAGCTTCCCACTTTTGTGAAGTGTGTCCTGTTCTTGAAGCCTCTGTGCTATGCTTCTTTTTTCCCTTCTTTGCACTGKATCTTTCATTCCTGTCAGTGGGAGTAAATTGGCTTAACTTGAGGGTATGCAAGCACTGTCATCAAGCTGTAGTTCTCAGCCTGAAAGCAGGAGTTATTGATACTACAATTTCTTTCTTCTGTCTCATCCAAACAAATGAACAGAATTCCCTCTTACGCCTTAAGCACTTTTTAAAATTAATTTATTATTCTTGAGTAGGAAAAAATATATAAAAGTAGACAGAAGGGCTAAGTGCCTTAACAGTTGTACAGTCAGAGAGGACAGGTCTGTGCAGGAGCAGGAGCAAAAAGCTTTGCTGTGTAACCAARGGCTTGAGTGTGAGTAATAATACAGGATGGGACATGTGGAACTTGTGCCAGATGTRCATGTTTTGGGTAGGCAGCAACTGGGTCAGGCACTGACCTGCTGTCTGGAAAGTCTGCACTCAGGGCATTGAGGTGTTCAGTATCTGGGTATTACCAATGCAAGTACAGAAGGCAGAGCAGTCTGTGGATTAGCAGTGTCATATTACAGGRAATGTGGTGACAGTTTTAGAAATTGCCTTGGGTTCAAGAAGTAGTGATTGCCTAAAGCTTTAATTTGTCTTCTATAAAATAGCTTAATGTAAAGGTGCTAACTTGACTAGATGGCTGATTTTTGTGTGTGAAAACTAAACTAAACAGTGTGTTAGTTTTTGTTTAAAGTTTTGTTTACCATTTCCAGGTATTATAGGATAGTTGGCTACCAGTGTTGCAATGGACTGTTTTAAAATCCTGCTTGGAAACTTCATTTTAACAAAGAATTGTGGGAATCTTCAAAACCTGTAATGTCAGGACCCCCGCAAACTGGCCTTTGAGACAAACCTGATCTGTTTGTGCCTCTTCTAGAGGTGCTGAATGTCTTCAGTGCAGCTTTGTGCTGATAACCCTGTTTAAGATGCCAGACTTGATCCCTTGGCAGCACTGTGCTTGGCTCCACGCTGGCTGTGCTGTCCTATGGCTGCTGGCAGAGTCTCTAAAATGCAAGCTGCAGACTGCTCCTTATCTCCCAGGAATTAAAATGCCAAGTGGACCAAGGGCAAATATGTTACAGACCTCTTGTCTTGTGGGGGATTACATGCCAAGTTCTAAACTGGCAGGAGCAACAGCTGACTGGGAAACATGAARGGATTTGGGTTTTTAAATTCAGCCTCTCCTGAGCCAGCACGCTACAGCAGCTCAAAATAGAGTTTCTGTGCCTTAGGTGCTGTCACATCTCTAGTTTAACCTGGTTTGATCTTTCAGTTTATACCCATAACCCCAATAGGCACAGAAACACCCAAAGGATGACACTGTCAGGTTATTTCCCTAAGCCTACCTAGTGAGTGGCCATTCAGGAGTTAGCATAAATTACCATGTAACACAAGTGAGACACAGGCCTGGCATAGCCTTCTGAAATTCCTGTGTTMTAGTTCAAAATATTTCTTTCTCCTAGATCTTGTCACTATGAAAGCTGTGAGAATCCTTGTAATTAACACCTTGTGAGTCCTGCATGAGCCAGGAGGAGGGAAGTATCCAAWCTCCTTTGCCTGCTTTTATACCTTACTGGTGCTGTAGGTGAGCCTGTCAATACGCTCCTATGTTGACCTGGCRTGTTTCAGGACACAGCTATTGCTCTTCACTGTTTAATCTGGGACTGTGGCCCAAACCAAGCTCATGTGCTTTGCCACTGAGGCTTACTGGAACTGCCTGAGCAGCACTCAAACACCCTAGGACTGTATTTTATAATGCTGGACAGCAGCAGATGTTTCAAAAGATAGTATGTGTGAGTTGTACTAAACAAGTTTTAACAATCTTTCCTTTTGGAGAATTTTGGTTTTGACCCTTTAAAATTAATTACTTATTTCAATTATTAATTTAAATCAATTATTATTTTAATTAATTACTATTATCRTAATTAAAAATGGAAGTACAAGTACTTGGTCCTCTAGGTGTTGTACAAACACTGTGCACTATCCTTCTGTCTTTTTTTTTTCCTAAAGTRTAAGAGTTTATATCCCTAAATTTAAAAAACTATTTAATGTAACTGATGTAACCAACCTTCATCTTTTATATAAATGTTTAAAGTTTTTGGTTTTAATCCAACTAAGCTCTCAGTCTCAGTATTTTCTGGCAATGAAAACCATTATAATTTTATTCTCTAWAGCCCATAATTTCTTTTTATGGTTCCTGAATTAATTGCCTTTTGTTTTCATTGAGTACCATCTGTCCTCGTGTTCTCAGCCACAAGAGGAAATAAGGAGCCTGGCTTTATATTCTCTGTTATACATTATTCTAGAGACAGTTTCTTTTCCAAGACTGTGGCTTCTCTGTCTTCTTCAACCTAAACTGTGTAGGTGTCTGATAAYATGCAGGCTATTTCTCCATGTCTTCTCTTTCGGAGGCATCTTTAAACTTTGGTTAACAACTGAATGCAGTTTGCTAGGGGAGGCTGTGTCCCCTGCTGATTATCTGAGTACAATTTTCCATAGTAGGCAATGTTGTAAGTGATTTTAATGCTGTATCTGTATGATGGAGCTAGTTTTAAACTTGTTAGTGTGGTTTTGGTGGCAGCCTAGCTACAAGGACATGAAAAACCCCTGAGGTTAGTTCTCCCCGTGTCTCAGGCAGGTGCAGCAGTCCCACTGAGCTCACAACAGCTGCTGTAGGTCTGTCTGGGGAGCTCTGTGTACGGAGCACCTGGAGAACTGTGTAAGCTTTGCTTGTGCTGACATACGTGGAGGGCTGGGACAAGTTCACCTKTGCAGCATTAGTCCCCTGGATAAGGCTAAGGTGTGTGCATTTTTTCCAGGAGCTGAGAGCTCAGTGTTGGTGGTGGCTGCACTGTGTCACATGGATGCCCTGAGAGAACTTTCCATAGTGGATTGGCACATGATAGTTGTGTGAGAAAGGGAACATCGCTATGACTGGCTAGGAGCACTGGCACGAGTACAAACGTGGCTGTAGTAAGGGTCTAAGGAGCAGCTCTTAGTGCTGTCGACATCCCTCTGAGAGAATCCCCCAGTGCTCCAAAGGGTGCCCCAGTATTGGAGTCTTCCTGGGCTGCAGTGCCTGCTGTGGTACTGTCTTGAATCTCTCCACACTTTTGCCAACTGAAGCTGGATTAAAGATTTATCACTTTMTTGTGGCTGAAAACTGTTCTGATGATTTCTTTGTTCGATGCTGTAATTAATCAGGCAGCTTTTTATTAACCTGGACAGGATGTCAATTATCCTTGTAGTCCCTGTAAACTTGTAGCAGAAGATAACAGATCAGTTTCTCAAMGGTATTAGTGGAAGCATTGGTGAGGAACCAGGAAAGTGGGTATTTGCTCAGGGGTAACAGAGGCAGKTCTGCCTTTTGTCTGTCTTCCTTTCTTTCTGAAGCCAATATCCTGAAATCTCTTCATACCAAAAGAGCTGCAGTGATCCGTCGACCACTGGAAGACAGGTTTTTATGTGTATATTCAGCAATCAGATGAAAGCTTTTGAGAGATGAACTATGGTGGGGCTTTTAACACTATCTTCATAGACTCACTGGGAGTTTCTTACAGCTAGAGGAACAGAATCACCTCTGGTGGTAACCCACTTGGGACTGCTCCTTGTAGAACAAGGCACTGTGACCTGGACCAGTGCACATCTCCTGGGCTGCATTTTTTCTTGTTTGGAAAAATACTTAATTTTCCCTATCAAAATCTCATTTTTGTAGTAGCCCATTCAAGTCCTATTAAAATCCCTTTCTACTAAGGGCTGAGTACCTCTGAAGTCAGTGACGTGCCAAAGCTGTCATGTCCCCTGGAACAACACCAATGACTCACAAGGTATGCTAATAAACGGATTATACTGTGACTGTGTGGGGCTCTGTCTTATTTTTCATAAAGGAATCTCTTCCAATGGCAGATTTTAGGATTTTTTTTTCAGCACTGAGTTAATTAAATTTCTCTATTAATGTTACTTTTAGAGAAGTTTCAATATGCTCAAGCATGTTGCAAAGTCAGCATCATGTTAGCTACCATTACAATGAAAGGCAACAGTTCCTAAAATGCCACGGTTTTAGCCATTTGGAACAGGTAAGTAGCCGGTCAGCAGGTCAGCTGCATTTAAAAGTTTACAGGTTTTAATACGTCAGCTTTCTTTGTTGTTAAAAGTGATCTTTCTATACAACTTGYTTGCATGACTTAGTCTCCTTTTAGTCTAGGATTCATGTGTCAGCACTCCACAAAGTCAGTTCTGGAAAAGTGGAAGTGTGATAAGGAAAATGCAGTTTGAATATGCCATTGATTCAAAAACACTGTTATACTCTASCCATGCCGCCCCACTGCTGAATCCTGAATTTCTGTTTAAAAAGTGTTTTGAAACACAGTCCATCTCCTTACAACGTCTGCACTGACTTTTCCAAGTCATTAGGGTTAGGCTGGGGCTTGGTGTATCTGATGCCTCCAGACTCCATCAATTACAGTCTGTAAGTTTTTGTGTATACTGACTCCACCCTGCTGCCGGGAAACAACATGCACTCACTGAAGAAAGAACTGCTTGTGGTTAACACTTTCCTTGCTTCATGTCTGCCTTCTACGCCTACCTGCATTTCCCTTCTTGCTTGTACAAAACTGGGAAATGGAGTTCAAACATTTTAGCTGACCTTTCAGGGCCAGCAGGCACTGTTTCATTCCATCAGTTCTGCAGTACACTTTAGTAGCCACTACCTGCAAAAGAAACAATGTTAAAGCCSTGATTAAGCTTACAAGTCTGTCAAGGTTGTTCTAAGCACTTGACTGCTGCCTTCATGTGGTGAAAAGGCTTAGGAGGAGTGTATGGCATGAGCTTACTTGTTTCACATTGCCTGCTGTAAGATAGCTTTGGATTTTGAAACTGAAATATGAGTGAGGAGAAAACTGAGCTTTACCACATTCATAGGGAGAGAGGAAAACGGGCATTCAGGTATCACCACTGTAATTAAAAAAATTCTTACTTGGGTAAAATTTCCTCTTTCTAGTGGAAGAAAACAGGATATTGCTCAAACTGCCTTGGTTTGCTGGGCTGGGTCTTCTGCTACTCTTAGACTGGCCTGTTCACAAGRGGTTCCTAGCACTGGTAGGAAGTTTCTATGGAATTCTGTTCATATGCAAAAGTGAAAAGAAGGAGTGAACCATTAAAATGGACCTTTAAGTATGTGGATGGTCCAGACAGAGTAATTTATCTAGAAAAACCTTTGGATTTAAGAWATGCTAATGGAGGACAGGTGTAGGACAGACAAATTCAAACAAATTGATGAGACCCAGTGTAGCACTTGATCTTCTCCCTGTTTTTCAAGTCCTACACATTCTGACAGAAATGAAAGACACTGTTCTCTTTGCAGACTTTCACAACTAGCCTGTCACTTGAAAAGAGAAATGAACTTCTTTGGATCAGCTTTCCCAAGAGGAAACTATGAAGCTGTGTAGCTCCGATGGCAGCTAAGCAAAAGGCCTTGTTTCTCCTATCCTTTTTTATCTGCAGTGGCCTTCTTGCAGGTATGAGAGCAGCTGCAGCTCTAAGGGCTGAGCTGGGAACAGGTGGAACTCAGTGCTGGGCTCATGTTCAATTGCTGCCCAACAGAAGAAACAAGYTGGCAGCAATCACAATTTCAGCAAGTTAATCCTGTTGGGAAGTGTGTGCTGAGTGTTTTGATTCCCAGCCCCTGGCAGCCCTTGGGGCTCAGGAGCCAGCAGCAGGTAGGTGTCAAGGGTTTCCATGATGAGAGGTCGTGCAGCCTGGACAGTGTGCCCCCATCACTGCAAAGACTGGGACTGTGGGGATATTTAGTGGCAATGGACAATTCAGCTGAAACCACTTCAAAAGTTTACACTTTTCTGTTACTTCTTGGAAACAAGACAAAACCACGTCAAGCAACAACAAACCCCTTTTCTTTGCAATTTAACTAATCTGTTCTGCTTAAGCCAGAGCTGCATGAAAAGAAGAAAATGTGCTTCTAAAGGTTAGTTCCTTACTCTTTTTCCCCCTCGCCCCCAGCMCATACAGTCTTGCTGGAAGTAAAGTAGGATTCAAACCTCCGATTGTGGGATTCCAGGACCAGTAACCAAACATACTACAAGAAAGCTCCTTTGCTTGAGGTTTACCATTTCGTTAGCTCTTGCAAGACTAAGAAGCTAATTCTCTTGCTCAATACAATTATGCTGAAGTSTCAACACAAACCCTTTTAACTCCCCACATGTTTAAGCCACAGCTAGGTTGATTAAGACTTGAGAAACCTTTATTTTCCTGCAGGGCTTGTCTTCGTAGTTACATGRGTTTAACAGTTTGGTTAAACTGATGCAACTTTGTGGTTGACACTTAGGGGTGATGCACTATTTGAATCAGATGCCTGTTTAGATGAGTCAGAAGTGTCCACACACAAGATTCCCGAAGAAATAAGCAAAGAGCAWGCCACTATTCACGAAAGTCCTACTACTATTACATTTAACCATCCTAAATAAATACAGTTTGCTAGATTTAACACTAAATGTGATAGAATTACACARATCTAGTAACCTTCCCCCAAGAAGACATGCAAAGTAATTATCTTTGGAAATGCAATAAAGTTTTGCATAGTAAATKTTACAGGATCTTGTCATAATATTTTGTGGAAATGTGGCTGAAAATGAAGATCTGACTAAAAAAGCTGGTAGCCTTTGGGGCAGTGCAGATAATAACCAGCTGTCAGTACCTGCAAAGGGCTGGTCACCTGCCTAGAAAAGAGAGATTAAAATAGAAGCAGCTGATTTAATCTGGGAATCCCTTAGTCTCATAAAGGAGCTCCTGTTCAAAGAGCTTGCCTCCTGAATATGCATGGGGTATGAGATCTGCAGGTAAAATAAGTGAATACTCTTTACCTATAAACACTCTTTACTTACAAGCATTCAGATAATTTTAAGGATTGATTTGCTTTACAGAGCATTCTGCAATAAATCCTATTTGGTCAAGTCAGTAGGTCTAGGGAAAACTAAGCCATGTTTTGCCTGCATCAAAAGAGGCTTCTTGGAGTACTCAGGAAGCTTTCAAGTGTGTCATATTGTTAGTTGAGGTAATGCACTCTCTACACAAACTAAGTTATCAATTRCTGAGTTTCCATAATGATGTACCTGACCTGCTCTCTTAAGCAAAAGAAGAGAGATATTATACYGCTTTCACAATCTTTTCATGTGGGCCGAGRAAATGTCCAAATGTGGAATTGACTGAGAAAAAAGAGGACTTGCAGTGTAGCAGTTTTTTTCTTTCCCCCCTGCAAAATGGAGGACATTTCAGTTCCATTTARCTTGATGCTTTTATCTGTGAATGTATAGTGCATATTAGACCCTGGCAGACTGTCAGCTTTGGTAATGGCAGAAGAAAAAAGGAAGTGTGAAAACAAAACAAATGCTCCTGCAGGTTAGTGTGAAAGGAAGAGGAAAATATATTTGGGTTCTGTGAAATACAAGATGCCAGACAACATATGCTCCGTAATCCTTGAAGGCAATATTATCTGTAAATGCCATCTTATCTTTCTGAGGAGTAGCAGTTATGTTCATACATGAAGTCTTAGCCATAATTGTCTTCTGCTGTATAACAGTAATTTTAACAGCTGTTGGAAAGTGTTCCCCTACTGACTCTGTTTTCCATGTATGTGCATACCAGCCACTTATTTCACAAATAGTGAATTCAGTTTTGAAYAGGGCTTTAATCAGGCATATGTTCATATTCTCTAAGATCCTAGAGACAGAAACTTGGACAACATCAGTTTAAAGTCTTCCGTGGAAAGGATTAGTCAAAGGTTGGATAATGCTCAGCCCAAATGGGGGAAATTTATTTTCCATAGCTTGTGATTCCTCAGGACYGCTTTGTGTTCARCTTCCTAGTATACATTGTCTGGGAMAGCTCTGTGCATCTTGCACAGCCATTTGTCTCGTTCCGAGCAAAGCAAGGAGCAATGAGCTGTGTGCTGTCCTTTCTTTTGTGATAAAACAGTTATTTGCTCCATCTGTTGTACAGGCCTAGAGTTTTGAAATAAATAATGGTGGCTGGTTGGTATGTTTGTGAAGATGTTTGATATCTGWTATTTATTATTATTTATTAATTAAGTGATCAGTATAGCATGAAACAGTGATCATCTAGGAGGAACAGGAACTTATGGCAGTTTGCTATAGCGTCATAGTGCCAGAGCACAATAAACTATTATTCTGCATGCCCAATACATTATTCAGACACAAAGCCATATGTGTGCTTTAAGAATTTGCCTTTGCTTGTCATTTCTGAGTGCATTATYGCATGCAAAGAGACAATGAAATCTTTGTTGAGTCAGAATGGAGCTGAACAGCTGGGTCCCACTGCACCAGCAGTGAAAATCTCTAGAGTGCTGTATTTTGTTATTGAGTCTATATTAGATTCAAGCTGTAGCAAGGATGTGTTTTACTTTCCATGCAATCWGAAATAAAAACCATGCTGGATGTGACTTGTAGAGTAGCACATGASTCACCAGTGAAAAGCAGACACTTCTGGGGTGCAATGCAGACTCTCATTGATTTTTAGTCCCCACTGAGAGCTTAAGACAGAAAACAAATGTAAATGTTGCAATGCTGCTTTAGGGAATGCGTGTGCACTCATATGAGTCTCTCATATGGAATGCTGCATTCTGAAAATTGTCTACAATGAAGGCAGAGGAATTCTGAACAGCAATTTCCTTTTTCTTGAGATAAGAGAGAAAGGAAAAGAAAAATAAGTACATTTCTCTAAGGGAGGAAACATCTTACTGGCAACCTTGTCGTTTCTGCAGGGTTTCTTACTGAATTTCTTTCTTCCTAGCAGAACACTACTGAAATTGTCACATATTATTTTTCATGGGATCTAGTTTTTGTCTGTTGGAAGATCTACAAGGGAAAATGCATGCCTGTCTCATACARTAAGTCGTCTGGGAAGAAAATAATGAGTGTTTATGAACTTGTGTGCCTTTCCAAGCCATGAGGACAGGGAGAAGCAAGCATTCACACCTGCACTCCCTGATTTTGGCCAGGGGAACAACACACCCAGGCCTGGTCTGCACAAGCCACCAGGAACATTTTTACAGTGTCTTGAAATGCCCTAAAAGATAAAAGTGCAGATGTTCACTCTGCTTYGCTTGCCTTGTTATTTTCATCACCTCTTCCATGCTTTCAGCCTGTGATGTTTAAGAAAGTGAGAGCAAGATTTCTTTGGAAAAGGAGGAATGGGAGTGAGCATTGTTACAGTTTAATGAAATAAAATATAATGTGACAAAGCCCCCTTATAATTAGTACTGTCTAATATTCCTTCTCTCCTCTGCCCATTCTTGATGTAATGTGTATTCTRTACTGGATTGAGGTAAAATCTAACAGTGCTGTGTTGCACATAATGTTGTCAAAAGATATTTGTGAGCAGCACCAGCTTTATGCCATCACTCTGTTTCTATGCCCATTTCTGTAAGTTCAAGTGCCACAACATCTGAGTCAGGGTGCTCAATTTCATCTGTAGTTACTTCTTCACTCCTTGGACACAATATATTTAATATTTTTTTCATCCCTTTTCCCATCAAAATACTCTCCAAAATTTCAGCTGTATTTTTTTTATTCTTTGAAATTCTTACAATCTTCTAAATACTTTTTTCTCACTAGGAAAACACCTTTCCTAAGGTGAAATCCTTCTTCAATGCAGCACCACACAAAGTATTACAATGGCTTTGTGTATCTTTGCATTCTCACATGGCAGAGATTCTCTGCAATGCCCTTGACTCTTTTTTTCCCTAGCTTTCTCCCACCACCATCATTTGCTTTTCCCCTCTGTAAAAACACAGGGAGGGAGATGCGGGTACAGATGTCCGRCTTACATGTACTCAATTAAAAGAGAAATTTTATCCTTTGGTATTTTACTTGTCATTTCACCCAATGAACTAGATCTCCAAGGAAAAGAATTATGTTAAATATATATATATGTAAGAACCTCCCCCCTGCTGCTTTCAGAGAGGGTAGGATATGAAGACCTTACCTAACCTATGCAATTCCTCATGGACCTGGCATGCGAGCTCCTCTGCTTGAATTTAGGAGTCGTTCAGACCCGAGCAGCTCCTCCAGCCCCTCCGTCCCTTCGGCCTCTGTTGAGAAAGCAACAGAGGGACTTTCTCGGCCGGAGAAAAGCGGTCACTGCACTCGAACAAGACTTAYTTGAGCTGCAGTGCCCTCACTTTATTTCCTTTTCCCCTCTTGATCCCCTTTCCTGCTGTTTGTTTTTCTTCTAAYAGAAAATACTACTGACAACTCAAATATTTCTTTAAATATTTCTTTAATCTCCAGTCAGATGAGCCKGAGCGATTTCCACCTCACGCAACTCATCTTCGGTGCGTTCCAGGGTAACCCCCACATTTTAGCACAAGGACGCAGTGCCGCTGCCTTTGGCGGTGCGGGCAGGCAGAGCACACACGCTGTTGTTTCATTAGCGCTCCAAGCAGTGCGCGCAGTGTGCGGGGCAGGTCAGGGCCATCCCTGGGGACAGCTCCTGCCCTCAGCCCGGGGCTCTCGGCCCGGCATGCCCCGCGCGGCGGAAGCCGGAAGCGCGGCGGCGGAAGCGGCGCTCAGCTGGCGGGGGGTGTCGCAGGTGAAGCTGGGAAGCGCGGAGCCATCTTGGTGCCCGCGCCGGGCAGGGACGGGACCCGCCGGGGCCGCGAACMGCCGGGGCCGCGCCGGGCTCGGGGGCGTCCAGCGGGGCCCGCCGGCCATGGGCTCATAGAGACACCGCGGGGCCACCGCGACCGGAGCCGCGACGGGCTGCCCCCGCCCTGCCCGCCGGGACCAGCGCCGGGCGCTCCCCGCCGGCCGCCGCCCGCGCCCCCGTGAGGCCGGAGCCGCCGCCTGCCTGCCCGCCCGCGCCGCTGCCGGTGCCGGTGCCCGTGACGAGCAGCAGGGAGGTCGTGCCGCCCATCCGCGGGCGCTCCGGCCCCGCCGGGCCGTTTTTAAGCCCCCGCGAGCGGGAGGGAAGTTGTTCCCCCCCCAGCCCCCGCCGCTGCCCCTGCCCGCCCTCCCCTCGGTTCCTGCGCCGGGAGTGAGACAAGCACAACCTCAGGGAGACCCGGCCCTGCGCACAGACACCGGCGGTCCCCCCCGCCGCAGCCCTGGAGGAGGAAGCCGGCCCCTTCCCTCGTCCTGCAGCGCCGGGAGCCTTCGGACCCTCCGTGTGCCCGGCAGGCACCTGTCCCGCCTGGAGGCAGCTCTCATGGACTAACCGGCCCCCTCCGCCTCAAGTACATTCTGTGGACACAAGCATTTTTTAACTCTTTTAAGAACTTTTTTTTTTTCCCCGTGGAATTTTTACGAGCTGCCCCTTAGTTATTTCCTGCTTTTCCCACCTCAGACAGCGCTGACTTTGTTTTTTCCTGGTACTGTAGTATGGGGATCAAATCAAAATCGAGATTTTAAGCATTGCAASGGCTCTCAAGTCCATTCACCTGTTAAAAGTCAGCAGTGCTGTTTCTGTCTTTCTTCTTTTTCCCCACGTCGCCTGGCGGATGTGATGGAACTCATGTTCGCAGAGTGGGAGGACGGGGAGAGGTTTTCATTTGAAGACTCTGATCGCTTTGAAGAAGACTCTCTTTGTTCCTTCATCTCTGAGGCAGAGAGCCTTTGCCAGAACTGGAGAGGATGGAGGAAGCAATCGGCTGGACCCAATTCCCCCACTGTCAAAATGAAAGGTGAGGTCAACCGGTTTCATTGTGATRCTGTGGAAGTTGTGGGGTGGTAGGTGTGGAGATCAGTAGAAGGAAAGTCAGAGCAGCAGAGAGAATTCCTCTGTGGGATTCGTTGTCGGGATAATTTTTGACCAAAGATTGAAACTATAAGTTCACTAGGGTAAAGACAAAGCTGTCTTTTAGGTGAACGCACCTGCGTGCACTCATAGTATTGTGGTGCTGCTCTTCTGGTTAGATTTTGKGGGATTGCTCTTGGAAATCGGAAAACGGTTTTCTATAATCAAACTGCAGGCTTGGCTGGGAATAACTGCATRGGTTCCCACATGCTTTGATTGAAGTACACTAAGGTTTCACAGAGGTTTTTGTAACTGCTATAAAGCTGCTCATTTAAAGCCGTGTAAGCCATCATTGTATAGAGCAGTCCATTTTCCTTGTCTGATTCTTGGCATTTCTCCTTTTTCCACTAAATTAGCTCATTCTTTTGCAGTAGTGGAGCAAGAGGGCCTTAACACTGTTACAAAGAAGTCGGCAAACAACAGTGTGCCTGCTTCAAGAGTTGTTTTATTTCCTTTCTGTTGATAGTATTTTATGTTGAATAGCAGACAGCAAAATARGTAACATTAGCAATTGAAATTTATTTTTAATTAACATATAGCTACTAGCTCTTTGCTTGATAATTTTYTTTCTTTTTAACAAAACTTGATTTCTCTATTATTCTACTGCATCGTGACCCTGGAATTCAGGTGATGTTTGCACTAAGCAGACCCAGATACATGGTTAACAGAAATTACACAAGCCTTTTCTACTTTTTCTTTTATCTCCTATTTCTTCAGGCCAGTGTCAGTATTTTTCCTGTTATAGCTGATCTTTGTAACTATCACCTGCCTCACTGATACCTCCCCAGCTGGAACTGCAAAACTTTATTCTCTTTTGTATATGGRCCTTACATGAACAGAGAATGCAATTTATATTGAATTGAGTTGGAATCTTGCCATGTTGTGCTATGGACAAATGTTCAGTTATCCCTGGTTTAGTAACAGAAGGTACATTTTGCATTAACCATGTGCTTTCCAGAGCAGATTAAGTTTTAAATTCTGCTGCTGTAGAGAAGGGGAGCTGTGTTGGCATTTTTAAAAGCTGTGAATCCTGAGATGTAGAAATAAGCATCRTGCATAGGACAAAGCATATACAAACATACAATGTTTTAAGTCTGGTTGYACACGTTAACTTGCTGGAAAGCAGCTGAAGTTTTAAAAACATACCGATGTGGAAATAAAGACATCTCTAGTTTGGCAGAGATGTATGGAATTGATTTGTACAGCTCTGCAAGTCAGACTGATGTTTGCAAAGATGATTGKKTTTTTTTTTTCAACTTTGAGATGCTTTCAGCCAACTTTTTCCCCCTGGTTCAGTGTATGAGTGTATGTTCTTCTGGGTCTTGACCTAGTTCCTTGAGCTCTCTTGACCGAATTAAATCAGGCAGCAGTTGCTGCCTCTGCTGTTATCCACTTGTTGCGTTAAAAGGAAAAGACACTTCAGTAGATTGTGCATATTTGCAATCTTCAAACTCTTTATGACATGTAAAACACGATAGCTAAAATTGTTGTAATAATTTTAATTATTTGTACTATGTTGAGATGTTGCTGTTCTGGGTTCTGCAAACTTGCATAAGCAAAGCTTTAATATTTGTACTTGGTTCATATATTTCAGGTTTTATCTGTAGAGGCACCTAATTCCTTGGTATGAGTCTTATTTTAACAGGAGGGATGTTTTGAAAGGATACTGTTGCCTGCTTTAAAGCCCTTGCTGGCAATTCCCAAGCTCTGGTCAGAGTTATTTTGAGAAGAATGTGAATGTGGATTTGCTGCCTAAATAATTATTTATTCACTCTATGAAGTCACATATGATACTACCAATATGGAACATTTGCAGGTAATTTTCTGTAGAAAGTGTGCTGCTAGTGAGTCTGGTCTGATGAGAGATCTGTCATTGTCTGAAATCTCCTTGGATTTCAGAACTCCTGTACCAATTTTGTTACTTTTAATACCTCTTCTTGGCAGTGTTTTTAAGTGAGAAAACACAGTTTGTATTCAGAACTTGCTGGGTCCTGAGGTTGTTACTTGTAATGAGTCATTTCAGATGTGATAATTCAGAATTGAGCTGTGTGGTTTTATTTCCACAGTTTGCCATTTTACTGTGTCCTGTTGCCTATGCAAACAAAAAATGAGGTTATACATTAGGCTCTTCTGTTAATGCTAAGAGAAAACAAGAGGAATTATATTCTGATAGTCTTTTCCTCCAGTCTGGAGCTCAGCCTGTGTTTTGGTTTGGAATTAGTCAGACAAATTATGTAATAGAAAGGATTTCTAGCCTTTTCAGTTGTTTTCAGTTTGTCCTTGTAAGTGTCTAATTCTTCAGTAACTGGTTGAAAGAGAATCCCCCTGAGACTGATGGAAGTGCTGTTGGCTGAGGAGTCCTCTTAAAGAAACAAACAACCTGCACATGCACAAGTTATGGCTTTCTTATTTTTTGCAAGTTTTTATTTTCTTCCTGGGTATTTTTAATATTACTGTTATGCTTACTGGAAATTTAACAACAACGCTTGGGGTAGCTTGTTGCAAAAATACCCAGTATTCACTGCAGAGGGTTACCAAAAGGATGAATTATTCACTTATTTGTGAATCACCCCATTGCTTTGCTAGAAAGATGATGGAAGGGGGAGAGGAATATTTCTGTAACTACAATCCTTGGAACTGATTTTTTAATAAAATCAGGTATCTTGAGTACTTACATCAGAAAAATATAGTTGTAATTGGCTGATTTCTCCCTCATTTAATTTCTGCTATGGTAAAGTCCTCTTGTATAAGTCTTCCTATATTCCACTCTAGAAAGAAATTTCCTCCTTAAATGTAGAACTGCCAGTGTGAAGAAGAATGCATTTTGTCCACTTTATGGATGCCCACAGATTTTGACATGACTCTCAATCTCCATTGATTCACCTGCACTGAAATCTTGGAGAAAACATATCAGTTTTGGGAATACCTGGAGTCCTGTCATAATTTTGAATGTTTGTTTTAGGAATGCRTTGTTTTCTTGTTAGATATTGCCTTGATTGCTTGCTTTACCCCTTGTGTTTTTAATTTTGAGTGGGATAATCCTTCTAGCTGGTATTTGGCCATCATCACCTGTGTACATCATTCATTAGAGGCTTTCACTGCACAGGCAGACAGAGGATTCTGCTCGGAAGTTAAGGTGAATGGATGTTTTGAAATACAATGTCCTTGCAGTGTGTTCAGAACTATGTGGTTCTTAGAACAGGTTTATAACTCCAACTCTTTGTCTTGCATATCAAATTATATTCCACTGATTTGTTACCCATCTACTAATAAATGCACCCACTTGCCTTTTCTCCTTTTTTCTGGACAGTCTTTTCTTTCCCAGGAACCATTATGATTCTGCCATGCCCTTCTCACTTTTTAAAGCAGTTATATTTTTCATTGGTAATTGAAGTAAGTGTTGCCTTTCTTCAAATGTTTTATCATCCATTATCTTCACGTAACTATTTTTGTGATAGAATTTTAAAGAATAAGTGTTCAAGTACACTCATTATCTCTTCAAACCCACTGTTTCTTCCTGAAAGCTTTTGAGCTCTCTCCCACCCTTAGTCCTTTGTTTTACAGTTTCTGAAGCATAAATATTTACAAAACACTTACAAAGGTTGTCATTAATCCTGTAGGATTGTTAAATAGTGCCTTCCCAGTATATTTACTCAATTTATATTTATTCATTCATAATGGATTTGGTAGGAAATGTGCTGATGAGTGGTCTTGAATCTGTTTTGGGTAGGCAGCTAGAGACAAAACTTGAGGCTTTTGCTTTCCTTTATGTAAGCTTGAACCACTGTGTACTATATCATTCAGACTTGACTAAGCAGGTAGTGCTCTCTTAGAAAATATTCTTATCATCAAGCCCCAGACAGTTTTTGTTCTTTCAAACTCTTAGGAGTACCCACAATGTTAAGTTTTGAGCACAGTGCCTTGAAAGTACAAGCTGTATAGAGAAAATCATTGGCAGAAAATATACAGAGCCTGAGGTGAAGATGTGATCCATTTAGAGATCAAAGTCTGAGCAGTGTCTATACTTGCAAAATGACAGTGACTGATTTTCATTAATTTATACAGAAACAGAATAAATGGCCTAGAGACCAATGCTTATTCTTGAGGATTGTCAGTAACTAAGAAATTAAAGTTAACCCATGTTCAAGCACAGGAGGAACATTTAGTCCCTTTCAGATTCCTACTGTGCTTTTCAGACTCTTGGTCTTTTCAGAGAAGAATGGTGGTATGATCCAAAAGTGTGTCCACTCCTTGAGCCCAGTGAAGCTGGAAATGAAAACTCTCTGGTTCGCTGCTGTTTTCTTACTGGCCATTACTGTGTATTACAAGTGATTTTTTATTCTACATTTTTTGTGCCTCTGCTATTATGASAGAGTTTATGTAGTCAACTCACACTTCTGAGAGGTACAGGTGTAATATGTTTGTTGTATTTTCTRATTCAATACAGCACATGACAAATCTGTTTTAGCTCAAATATATCTGCTATAGTGTATCCAACGTCATTAGTAAGATGCTAGACAGTAATTGTTAAACAAAGGTGTTCTGGCTCCCCAGTGAGTTTCTTTATAGAAGCAACAGAATTCTAAAGGTATAAATGTTGATGTGTTGATACAACAAGTGGTTATGAAATAAGAGATCATCTGTCCAAAGAGTAAAGGTAACATGAAATAAGGGTTTAGCTGCTAGTAGAAGACAGGTTTCTCTGTATTTTCTCACCCTAGTAAAGGAATTTCACTTGTTTTAGTACTCTAATCCATAGCTGGTGATGATGTTGATTTGCTGTGGAGCAGAAACAAAACTTCAAGCTGAGGAGGGGACTTACTGCCTTGTAATAAATACAAGGTGTGAAGGGGACATTGGTTCATTGTTGCTGAAGACACCATAGAG